GGGAAAACGGGGTGAACGGTGCTGCCAGTTCAGCTAAACTTCTGTCGTTTGTTTTTTTGTTTTGTTTAATGTATATTTTTATTATAATTATTATATATGAACGCCATTCAAATTGTTCCTTTTTGTTAAAGAGGGGCATAGGGAGGGGTGGGGGCGGGGGGGCAGAGGCATCTGACCCCAGGAACCTGCAGGGCGGGGCTGGGTCAGTGCCCTCTAAGGACATTTTTGACCTTGTTCAACCTTTCCACAAAGAATAAACTGTGTTTCACATTCTTTGTGTGGCTACAGCTATGTGTAGGGATGAATGGGATATTGCCAAGCTGGGAAAAGAGCAGGCTTCATAAACAGCGTTTCCTATGAGGTGGGATTTGGATATTTTTCATTAAAAAATTTTCATTTTTCGTAGATTGATGGGATTTAGGAGCTGGAGTTGGGGAGCAGAGCATTTTCTAACCCCAGTGGGGTAGAAAAGTAGTTCACAGAGCTCAGTTACCCTTCCCCCAACCGCCTTAAAAGGCTACCTTCGAAATCCAAGGCTGCCAGAGACAGAGGAAGTGGTCAAGCTGAGGCTACTTGGAAAATCTTCCTAAACTGCATTACTCTGCCGTGTGATCTACCCACAGACCCCCAGTTTCCTCATGTGTGTGTCTCTGCAACTGGGGTAGTCCCATGATTAGTCCAAGGCTCAGCGCCAGGCCTCGACCTGAGAAGCTTCTTCCAGGCCTGGGACTCTGCTGCTGCAAAGGAAACCAGAAGGAAAAAGAAAGGTTTCCCAGTGGTCTGCTAGGAGCATGCTGCCCATGGCAGAACGGAACTCCTCAGTTGCCCAGGAGAACCAGGACCCTCAGATTGGAAGTTCAGAATAACAAGGCTTTGTTTCCTCTTTCCATAGAAGCTGCTGCCCTAGACAGGGTTCCCAGGCTGTCGACCCACCCTTCCTCTAAAACCAGCCTAAAGGGAGGGGTCAGCTCAGTTGCTGAGTCAGCTCAGCTGGAGGAGATCAGCCCCTTTTCTTCTGCCTTCCCTTCCTGCCTCAGCCCAGCCTTCCCTGGGCTCTGGCCCAGGCCCTCCACAGCCTGACTCTCAGAGCCCGGCCCCACCTATGCCAGTCTTCTCCCCAGCTGCTCTGTAGGGTGGTTGGTATGATTGCTTTGGCAGATGGGGTACCCCACCTTCCTGCCAGCCAGCAACCCTGACCCTACGCCTGGCCTCCTGTGTCTCCCCTGCCAACAGCTGTTTGGCAGAGCCTCCGCATCTCAGAGAGGTCGGGCACCACCACCACCACCTTCACCAGAGGGGATGGGGACTGAGAAGGTAGCCCTGGGGAAGTCAGGGGCATCTGGGGGGAGTAGGGCCCATGCGTGTGGCAAGAAATTCAAAGATGAGCTCATGGCCCCTTTGTGTTTTTGTGGTTCACATCTGGAAGCAATTACAGATGTTATCCAGAGGGAATTCTGCAAAACACAGCTGGAGCCTGTGGAAGAGCCCAGGAGGGGGGACTGCCAGAAGGAAGAGGAGGGGGAGCCCAGGGCTGGAGTGCGGTTTCCCCATCACGAGGAAATTGTTTGGCTGTGATTCTGGAATCACAAGATGCTCTCTGAAGCCAAGGGGGAAGATGGGAACGAAGGACCAGAGACAAAGGGGAAAGAGCTGGAAGCCTGGTTCCAATGCAGACAGAATTGCGGGTTGGATGCTGCAGAGTTGGGTGCTGCTGATGTGCTTGGACCTGCCCGGGCAGTCCCGTGAAGCTGCCCACTGATCTTGGAAGATGCCTTAGTGGTCACAAGGCCCCACTTGAGGGAGCCACTGGGTCAGGCTAAGATGACAGGAGGCAGAGGGCCCTCTGGCTCCCAAGGACCTGCAAACTGTTTTCACTGGCCTGGCCGATTTGTCCATTGGGCCTGACCCAGTTTCTATGGTTCCAAGTTCCTTTATTCGAAAGCAGCACATGTGAGCTGGAGCAGGCAGGAGGGAGCCAAATGGAATCTGTGAGGAGGTTTGGGTGGACCCCAGGCAAACTGATCTAAGAAGGTACCTGACTGGGAGCAAGGGCCAAGGAAGAGTGGTACTCTGCCCACCAGCACCCCCCACACCCTAGATGGGGGATGTGGGCACTCTCCTCCAGGGCTCCTGCCACCATCTGGGCCAGTGCCTCCAGGGCTGCCAGCCAGGCTGTGGATCAGGAAGGGAAGCCCTAAGAAGAGACGCACCCACTGAAAGAGTGTAGGCAGGACACCTCCCCCCCTCACAATCTGGCTAGCCCTGCTGGTCCTTCCCTGACCCTCCCCCAAGTACCCCTCTCCCCACAATGTGGCCGCCTTCCCAGTCTTCTTCCTTCTTCCTTGGTCCTGCAGACGGGCAACTGCAGACAGCTTCACTCTATGCTGCAACACAGGCCCCCAACATGACCCCCATTTTGCAGATGAAGAAACTGAGACCAATGAAGAGAAATGACTTGTTCAAGCTCCTCATCACAGCTCCTTAGTCCAAATTTAAACCCCATATCAGGGGCTAGGGTGTGACTGAGTTGTCAAACAATTGCCCAATATAAGCAAGGCGCTGGGTTTGATCCCCAGCACCACACAAAAACAAAACTAAAACTCAGATCTAACAGGTTTTTTTCCTGTGCAAGCAGATTCTGACAAGATTTCTTGGGTGTTTCTTCTGATGTGGACCCTGTGTAGTTGGGTAATTCCATGGTAGTATGCTCTGGGGACCTGTCAGCATATGTAGGTGTGCTTATTGTGCCATATGGCAGCATCAGTGGCGGGGGTATTATGGCGGAGGAAGCGTCTCAGGAAGGGAAGCACCCCATCACTCCCCTTCTCAGGGGCAGGAGTAGGTCCTCTTAAGGAAAGAAGGCAGCACCACGACTCAGAGGCCAGAAGGTCTTTAGGGGGACCACAGCCCAGAGGGGATTGGTGAACACCTGTGCTAAGGTCTTCAGGATAGTTTCTATTCCCTGAAGCCCCCAGGAAATTCCAGCCTTGACTAGGCCACTGCCCTGCAGCTTCTGTCCCTACTTTCTACGCAATCTCAGTTCATCTTCTTTAGGAGACCAGTTTTCTACACCTAACCTCCCCGTGCCCCCATCCCAGGACTTCCTGCCTTTCTCCTTCAGACAGTCTTGGGAGATTGGGGAGACTCCGTGGCAGCCTGCATTGGGGCTAAGCAGCCAGGGCCTAGAAGGGAGGCAGGCCTATCTGGCAAAAAGCCACCTTCCCAGTGAGCTCACACACATACTTTCCATGCTGGCCCAATGCCAGTGGCTTAGCTCCTTTCAAGCATGCCTTCTCCAGCCAGGCTCAGCCCCCTCTGTCCTCCCCTGTCACCAGTCCTGGAGCTCCACAGCAGGACCATCAGAAACCCCAGTCCAGGACTGTCATCACATCACATGCAGCTTGTCTGTACTCATGCTGAGGCCAGTTCCCGCCAAGCTGTTTTTTCCTCAGCCATGTGGCCTTCATGACTTAAAGGAAGAGGAGACCAGCTCCTGCCCACAAAGACCCACATCTGGGGCTGGAGATGTATATAGATCAGATAGTAGAGTGCTCGCCTTCCATGTACAAGGCCTAAGTTCATTCCCAACATCATATAATACCAAGGGTTGTAGTACACACACGTAACCCTAGCTTTTGGGAGATGAGGGCAGGAGGATCTGATATTCAAGGGCACCCTTAGTTATACAGCAAGTTCCAGACCAGCCTGGGTTACATGAGACCCTATCTTTAAATAAAAGAAGAAGCACACCTGGGTGGAAAAGGACAGTAGAGCAGACAGAAGAGGCGGCCCTGGGGTGAATGGGCGGAAGGGCTTCCTCCATTTCCTGAAGTAGCTCATTGACTCAGGGACCAGATGGGTCTGGGAACTGCCTCACGATGGGTCACATCCTGTTCACTCACTGGATTTCCCACTCTTAACACTTCCCTAACTTTGGGCAGGATGGGGTCCAGATGGGGCAAGGCCGGGCTGCCCACAAAGGGGAAATAAAGACTGGTATCTTGCAGATTTGAGAAAAAGAAGAAATGTCAATATAACTATTATATAACTTTTTAAAAACCCAATACCTTTGAAGGACCCCAGTGTGTCCTTCTCCAAGTGCCCTTCATTAGAGGTACTTGGAGGAAGCCCTTCTGCCATTCACTCCAGGGCCGCCTCTTCTGTCTGGTCTACTGTCCCTTTCAATGCAGGTATACTTCTTTTTCATGATTTTTATTTGTATGAGTGTATTGCCTGCACATAGGTAGGTGCACCCAT